ACCACTGACCCACCAGAATTGACCTCAAAATCAGATTACCGTATAGGTGCTGCTGGGAAGATGACAATATTTCACCTACAAGTGGAATTCTTTATATTGCTGTGAAAAAGCTGAGGGTTTCTTAGCATTTTAGTACTGCAGGCATTTATTTAAAAACCTTCTTTTTGCCCATTTTCCCACTGTTTCTCTATTGATTACATATTTTATGGAATGTCTGTCCCTATCAATTTAAACTGATGTATACAGATAGTGCTTGACTTACAACCACAATTGGGCCCAAAATTTCTATTGCTAAGCAAAACAGTTAAGTAAATTTGGCCCTATTTTATGACCTTTCTTGCAACAGTTGTTAAGTGAATCACTGCAGTTGTTAAAGTAGTAACACGGTTGTTAAGTGAATCTGGCTTCCCTACTGACTTGGCTTGTCAGAAGGTTGCAGAAGGTGATCGTGTTGCAGTGTTGCAGTGTTGGGACACTGCAACCGTCATAAATAGGAGTCAGTTGCCAAGTATCTGAATTTTGATCACCTGACCATGGGGAGGCTACAATGATTATGACGTAAGTAAAACGTCGTAAGTCACTTTTTTCAGCGCCGTTGTAACTTCAAATGGTCACTAAGTGAACTGTTGTAAGTCAAGGACTACCTGTATGGAAATATATGTGAAATAATGAAATAATCCTTATACATATATATGTTTAATTCTTTCCTATAAATACGTTGTATATCTATCTACATTACAGGTTTCCAGCAGAAGGGACAAGAATGTAGACCAGGGGTAGTCAACCTTGGCTCTTTTATGACTCGTGGACTTCAATTCCCAGAATTCCTGAGCCAGCATAGCTGGCTCAGGAATTCTGGGAGTTGAAGTCCACGAGTCATAAAAGAGCCAAGGTTGACTACCCCTGATGTAGACGGCCATCTGATATGCAAATCTGCTGCCTAATTACTGCTGCAAAGGCACATTTCTGTAAATTTTGCAGAACATTTTCCCACAAGCGTTCTTGTACCATCAGTCACACAAATCTATGATAAAGTAAGTTAATACTTTTGTGAATAAACGGTAACATTGCTATGAATGTACAATGATCTGAATAGGGAGGCGTAACCAACAATTGGCAAATATTTAATACAAGATGTTTTGAGCAAACTTGTCAATCTATATACAATATAAAACCATATTATTTCTTTCCTCCTGTACAGTCAAGCACTGCATTTCCTTTTCTATGCAGAATTGTTTATGTAGTCTTTGTTCAATGAAACTTTTTATTAATCAACATTTTTAGAAAAAAATCCTTTCATGAAATTCTTTCAGTCATTTATCTTTCTGACTTCCAATTATATAAATTCTGGAATGAACGGCTTATGATTTAGCACCAGACATTTTCCCACACCAATGTCAAATACTAAAAAGATTTAGCATTTTCAAAGAAACAAAGTTTTAGTAACAGCGTTGTTTTTGAAAAACGTTAATGGTTTAACTTGGTGCTTTAAAAAAAATAATAATAACCATACTTTCCCAATATCTGACACCATTTGTTCCCTACTGGCTTTGTAACACTTTTTAAAATGACAAGATCACCTATTTTCATGCACTCAAAGATCATATATGGGAATGCTATTGCTACTGAAGTAACGTGATAATTAAAAATGCTTCTCCACAAAATAAGACTGACATTATAAAGCTCCTATTGGTGTTTAGAAATGCTCAAAGAACAATATTAAATATGAAATTACTTACTAGCTATCGAATTGTTACCCTAACCCACTAGAGTGAATAAATAAAATATTTCAGACTCAATTTCAGCAACCCCTTTTCAAAACAGCACTCAGTATAGTACTAAAAACTGGTATTTAACCATTAATAATTAACATTTAGTGTAAAAGTTCAACATGAAAATCTGCATTTAAAGAAGTTTTCACTGTTTAATGATTTCATATTAACAGTTTTCTCATTGATACAGCATCATCAAATGAAATATTGGAGCAAAGCAAAAATAAAACTATATATTTTTTTCAGTTTGATTCTTGAATTGCATGCAAAAAGGTAGTTACTGTGTACTTTGAATCAAGAATGTTGCATTCAGTGAGAGTCCTCGAGACAGTTTGTAAAATAAACAGATACATACTGACCATTGTAAAACAAAATTTCAATGTTGCTCATAACAATAAAAAAGCAGCACAAATACAGATTTGGTCAGTCTGGAAGCTGTATAAATATACATATCATTGTAGATTTCTACGCACATGTTGGACATAATCTACTGAGAACTTTTCTTGTGCAGATCACCATAGAAATGATTGTGAGTTCCCAAACACCTCTGCTACTGATGGTGGGATGCACCGGAAAAGTTTTCCATAATTGTGCCCAATACCTTCACTTTTCCATGGCTTGACCTCTCCTTGGCAGGCAATTTTTTTTTTTAGCCTTGCTGAGAAAATGCAGACGCGCTCTGGATGGCATTTTATTTTCCTTTTCCATTTTTTGAAGATTTCTGAATCTGAAGTTTTAATTCTTTGATCATCTTCTCTAACTTCTGTCTCGCTTCTCGTTCCTGTCTCAGTTCATCTTGGAGCTCCTGTCTATCGGCCTCTGCATGATCCAGCCTCTGCCTCAGCTCTGCTAACTGCAAGTTTGAAAAGTAAAGACAAGCTAAAACAGCTGGTATATCATTCACTTGTTTCTTAATCCTGGTACATACGCAAACATTTCATGCTGTTCCAAAATGAAGCATCTGTCAGTAATCATACCATAAAAAATACCAGACTGGAACATTAAATATGTGCAAGTACATACAAAAAAAAAATCAATACAAATTTAAAATACTTCCTATGCTTTTTCTTTCCACTTTGCTATTGCAACATTTTTAGTGAAAATATTCTTATTTCTTTGACGTAGATGTTTCTAAATTGCCAGAAAAAACATTCATCCATTAAAACCACACCCAAATATTTGGATAGAACTGAAATAGCAATCTCTGAGTTAGTAAACTGTAAATAATGTAGGAAAAAATCAAATCAGTGGGGAAGTGAAAGGTATATGGCATTTCTTCTGTACACATTACAGTGTAGGCATGAGAAAAGTAAGGCATATTTTAGTGTTAAATGAAACTGTTTTTAAAGATAAATAAAGCTGCAATCCATATGCTGCTGACTTGAATGCATGGAGCTCCAATGTGTTAGCAGCTATTCAGACATCTGAGGGGCAGAACTAGCAAGAGTGTATATTTCGTATATTTTATCAGCAATCCAGCATTACA